TTCAAACCCCGGTCCGGGGGCCTTTCTGGGTGGAGTTTGCATGTTCTTTCCGTGCATGCGTGGGTTTTCTCCGGGTGCTCCGGTTTCCTCCCACAGACCAAAAACATGCATGTTAGGCTGATTGGTAACTAAATTGTCCCTAGGTGTGAGTGAGAGAGTGAATGGTTGTTTGTCTCGTTTGTCTCTGTGTCCCTGTGATGGACTTGCGACCCGTCCAGGGTGTACCCCGCCCCTCGCACAGTGATTGTTGGACATGGGCACCAGCGACCCCCGTGACCCAAAATGGAATAAACGGGTAAAGAAAATGTATGGATGGATGTATTAGTGCCCAAAATTATATAATTCTACATGATCACATACTAGGGAATTTTGTAAACAAATAAATACATAAATAAATAAACCCTAAATTCCATAGGCAAAAAAAAAAAAAGCCAAAAGAGCCTGTTTCAACACATATTTGTCATGCTATTAACTTTGTCTGTCTCTAGTCATTAACTATGATTTTCTTTTTCTTTTTTTTTTTTTTCTGTCAGAGACAAGATCCTGTTGCTTGGGATGAGAAATTTGCTACTGTATCTCGGGAGGTCCTCAACATTCGTTATACCCTCCTGCCTTACCTGTACACGCTGATGTTTGAGGCACACACCAAAGGAAGCACAGTTATTCGACCACTGTTGCATGAGTAAGCAGAAACAAAGGGAAAAAAATGTTCATCATGGCTTGCAGCATTAAGTTCATCTAGCTAATTAAAGACTATATATATATATATATATATATATATACATACACATACAGTATGTATATTACTAGGTGACCAAGGGTTATGTTACAGTGTTTCTTGTTAGTGTTCAAATATGTAACAGAGCACATGTTGGTACACTGTGGACAACTACAAGAAAGCAGACAAGAATTATGTAATAATGTAGTTATCAGCAAAAAGATTCACCAAAAAAAATATTATTTTAGGTTTAAAATTATCTTCAGAGTTTGTAGAGTTTAAGCTCATTCAGCAGCAGCTTTTGTGCAACAACTGTCTCCACATGTATCTGAGCAGAGAGCAGTGTGACAGACTGTTGGCATGTTGAGGGATGACCACATCTAAACTCTTTTTTTTTTTTAAAGAAGAAAGTAAAGTGGTTTGTTTTTTTCTGTCTGTGCTTCTGAAGAATTTATTGTCAGTTTAAAATATATGATATTATCAAACTTACATTTGCCATGTGCTTCCTTTTCATGTTTTAATAAAGCCGTATTAAACTGGGACCCTAAACTTGCAATACACAACAAACTATACTTTATTCATACTGTAACACCTCTATGTGATAGATAATAAAATCAAAATAGGAATTGTTAATGTTCATTATATAGCACTTCTGTTTTTGAGTAAAACTGGATATTGGGATTTTCACACGACCACTTATTGTGCAATATTATTAGGTTAAAATATCTTATTTTATTCAGTTTTACAGTCTGATATAAGGTGTGGATTGATTTATGTTTGACACATTAAGTAAGATTATTTACTGTCGATAATAATAAAAAAAATACAATTGAGCAAAGTACTTGAATTCTGCTAAAACCTTGTGAAATTCAACCTTATAGAGGGATCTGGGTGCACTTAGCTCCCAGATGAGAAATTGCATGAAAACATGTATTTATTCACTTGAAGAGGTGCCATATAAAGTCACAGATGGTATTTAAAAAGCTGCCTGGATGGATCTGGCAGAATTATTTGGCTTCCATCTTCAAAAAACTGAATTCTATTATAAGTATTTGAACAGTCGTTAGGACTGAGAATGCATGACTGAGCTTTAGGAGCATGCTCTTTTTTGTTATTGTTGTTGTGTTTTTTGTTTGTTTGTTTTTTTCATATTCTTTTCAGACATATTTGATGACTTTTTTTTTAAAGTTTTTTTTTGCTTGCTTGTTTGTCACAGGTTTGTGAACGACAGAGCTACTTGGAACATCCATAAACAGTTCCTCTGGGGACCTGCCCTACTTATCACCCCAGCCCTAGAAAATGTATGGTCATATTGTGCACTTTTCTTGTTTTTATTAATCAAATTCTAATGGAAATAAAATCAACTGTTCAACAATCCCATGAATGAATTTTGTTTTGTGTGTGCACATTTGTATGATTGTGACACAAAAACATTTTCTAATTTATTTTATTTTTTCTTATGGAAAGGGAGCCAGAGTGGTGGAAGGCTATGTTCCTAATGTACGTTGGTATGACTACCACACGGTAAGTAACCATCTAATAATGACTGTAAGGACAGTTAGTTTAGTCTATTTTGCTGTTGATAAGAACTCATAAATAGCTGAGATATAGGATGCGTATAAGCACAAACCTAGTACAACAGAAACTAAAAATACTTTGAGTTGATCACATCCAAGTAGCTGATAAGTGTATGCAGAGTGTCGTACTAGACTTTACTTTTGTTACACACATCTAATTCAATTTCCAAAATACATGCATAAAAATTATGTACTATATTAAAACCACCTCGACAACAAAAGTTGTAATAATGCTGACTAAAATCATATAGTATTTGACATAATTTTTGCTTCTCGACATTTGCAAAAAAAACACTTTAATGGAATTTTTTTTTTTTTGCAGCTGAAAGAGTCAAAAGAAAAATAAAATCATGAGAAAAAATAAAAGGCAACAAATGGAATTGGCACATAGAATTACTTTGGAGCAGTCACAGTCATTTAAAGTTGTGCCTTCAACATAATTGGGCCATAAGAAGTCAGGGTAACTTGACCTGCTTAGTATAACTTTGACTAAGGACATAGTGGGAAAAACTCTAAAGTAAAAAAAAAAAAAAGTAGTACTAAGCAAAGCTGAATTTACAGTTTTCTTTTTTTTTCTATTTTAGCAGAGAATTAATACAGCATGTCTGTTTTCTTTAGGCCAAAGTTGTTGAGGCACGTGGCAAAACAATTTCCATGCCAACACCATTGGAAAAGATTAACCTTCATGTCAGAGGAGGATACATTTTGCCCTGGCAGAAACCAGAGACTACCACACATTACAGGTAAGTACTTACACTACTGTCAAACAACCAAGAACAGTTTGATTCCTAAATATATTCTTCTTTAAAAAAAAAGAACAATTTGTTCCAAATTAACCGTTTCATGTTTGTCTATTAGCCATTCACAATTTGTGTTTTTATATTCAAAAATTAGTTTAGAAACAGTTTTAGACTTGAAAAAGCCAAAAAAACAATGCATGTTAATCCTTTGGTGGAAGGGAAACAAATCATAAATGTTGTACGTTGTAGAACGTTGCCACTGAGAAGAATAATAAGAAGAGTGGTAAGCTGAGGCCTAACAAGTGAGGACAGGACCAAAGTGGATTGCTGCCACCTTAAACAACTCCAATATTAAATGTTTCAGAGTGGTTCATTCAAATGTTGTTATACAATGATTTTGATTTATATGTTGCATTACATGGTTATTTATATATCATTGTTGTTCATATTGAAAGCGCAAATGCGGCAGCAGCTGTCTCTAGCACTTTTGTTGTAGCCCAAGAAACTTTCAACAGAAATATCACGGGATTCCTGCTAGAATATACTGTATACCTAAAAACTGATGTAAACGTTATTCTGAAATAATGTTTGTATGAACCACAATGATTTTTTTGGTACCACTTTACAGTAAGGTTCCTCTCATAAATGGCCTCTATAAACCCTTTATAAATCATAAATAATTGTTTATTGTGCATTAATTAAGGGTGACAGAGAGACAAAACTGAGCAGTCTGTTGCCAAATACTGAGTCAAATCTGTTCTCCTATATATTTCATCTAGAGTTGTTATATTAAACATTTCAGACTAAGTTACTACTTTGTAAGCACAATAAGCATTCTCTAAACCTATTTCTTTAGCATATAATTATGCACTTCATCAATGCATTATACTATTATATCCTAAAAAAGAAATATGTTCTTAGTCTTAAATGTTTAATATACAACTCTAAATGAAATATATAGGTGGCAGATTTGGCTCACTATTTGGCAAGAAACTGATCAGTTTAGTCTTTTTCTTGCCCATTATTAATGCATAATAAGCAGTTACCCGTGATTTATAAAGTGTTTATAGAGGAATTAATAATTATCTATAAACTATTTATTAGCCATCTATAAGGGGAGTCTTATTGTAATGTGGTAGGTTTTTTTTTATTATTATATTTGTTGTTTTAAGATAGCATCATTCAACTTTGGTCTTGACACTACTTAGAATAGCCATTAGCTCCTCGATCCATAGTTAAGTCCACTTCTTTAAACTGAAGTTGTTTACAGAGGCATCTACAACTTGCATTTTACTAATTGTTAATAACCTTCAGATACAACGGCACTTTAAATGAACTATTTATTTCAATACTGTTTTTTTTTTTTTCAAGGCAGTCTCAACATATTATGATATGTAGGTAATCTTTTTTTTTTTTTTAAGTCACTGTTGGATTTTTTTTTTTTCCATTTTTACTTATAATTAATACAATCTAAAACAAACAAAAAATGAATAACTGAACACTTAAAGCTTTGTTTCAAAGACTAAGAACTAGGGACCTTTTTTTGGCTTTGAAACATCTTCAATAAAACTAGTAAATAACATAAATGATGTAACAATACCTAAACATATTAATGTCTAATATAAAAAAAATAAATGTTAGTTGTATTGTTATAGCAAATAAACCCAGAGAGACATTGATTTATATTAATAAAGCATTACTTTTAAAATTGTTAGTTGTGTAACATGGTTTTGTTTACCTGAATTCCAACATTTTTATAAAAAGAAAAGTCTCTGGAATATGCATATTGGTATTTTAATAATACTCATACCTGGGAGGTAAGTTGCCATTTTGGACCTGCGCTCAGTCAAATGCATGCCACATAAGATTGTTGGTGTGTGAACAGAAAGTGGCAGTGAGGATGAGAGAGAGCGACACTGACTGTTCCAGCAGCAGTTTCATCAGGTGGATCCTCACTGCAGGAATACTTATTTATTTGTTCTCGGCAGCAGGTATAAATAGTTAAGGCCCTTCAGCTTTCTGCCATAACTCCTATCTGTCCCTTTGCTTTCAGTCGAAAGAATCCTTTAGGACTCCTGGTTGCCCTGGATGACACTGGAAGAGCTGAAGGCTCATTTTTCTGGGACGATGGAGAAGGAATAGGTCAGTGAAAGGTCTCTCAGCAGCACTCACATCCATCCATCCCCGCACTTAAATGATCAGTGAAGAACAAATATGTCTTTTCATCTGTTATTTATATATGTTTAGGATGCTCATTCATCATGGTTACAAATGGCATAGCCAACTCATCGTCAACTTTAAAACACAAAACAAAAACAGAATAATGAAACAGCTGGTGGATGGAAGAAAATATGTAATGAACATTTCTTTAAAAATGTCAGCCTTTTAAGATAAATTTCAATGGTTAGTATACATTTCTAAATATACTGTCTACAACAGTTTTTCACAATAAAATTGTTGAGACAGTTTTTTTATTTTTCTTTTGTGTTTTTTTTTTTTTTTTTGCTTCTCATCTCAAACATTTGAGATTTTCATTTTAGGTTTTGGGTTTCTGAAGCGTAATTATATAAGTTATTATACATATTAGCTTGCAAAGTACACAAATGAAAACAGAGTGATTAATTAGGACAAAGAAAATGTAGCACATTCTTTTTGAGATATATATATATATATAT